CATTATTCCCTGGCGCGCTCCCCCTTGCGTCGGCCGGGGTCGGCGGACACTTTCCTAGCATTTTCCACCACTAACCAGCCTCCCAAAAAGCTTCCACGAACAGCCTGCCACAAGCTTTCCAGCCTCCCAAAAGCATCTGAAATCACCCCTTCGCCACGGATTTAACCCATTGAGTTCTGCTCCAAAGGAGCCCCCAAAAAGCTTCCACCAACAGCCTGCCAAAAGCTTTCCAGCCTCCCAAATGAAACCACCCCTTCGCCACGGCTTTAACCCATTGAGTTCTGCTCCAAACGAGCCCCAATTCCTCGGACGTTCGGTGTCAAACGGACGCTCTGGATCCCTATAGAAAAAATAGAAAAAAGACAATTTGCTAGCATTTTCCACCACTAACCAGCCTCCCAAAAGGCATCTGAAACCACCCCTTCGCCACGGCTTTAACCCATTGAGTTCTGCTCCAAACGAGCCCCAATTCCTCGGACGTTCGGTGTCAAACGGACGCTCTGGATCCCTATAGAAAAAAGACAATTTGCTAGCATTTTCCACCACTAACCAGCCTCCCAAAAAGCATCTGAAACCACCCCTTCGCCACGGCTTTAACCCATTGAGTTCTGCTCCAAACGAGCCCCAATTCGGACGTTCGGTGTCTAACGGACGCTCTGGATCCCTAGAAAAAAAAACAATTTGCTAGCATTTTCCACCACTAACCAGCCTCCCAAAAAGCTTCCACCAACAGCCTGCCAAAAGCTTTCCAGCCTCCCAAAAGCATCTGAAACCACCCCTTCGCCACGGTTTTAACCCATTGAGTTCTGCTCCAAACGATTGAGTTCTGGCGGATCTATCATTATTCCCTGGCGCGCTCCCCCTTGCGTCGGCCGGGGTCGGCGGATTTTCCCAGATAGCGGGGTCTATTGCGGTTCTTATTGCAAGTGAAGGCATTTTCCTTGCTGCAAAAAGGTGTCGGTGCCAAATGTGTATGCGCCGCTTCTATGGTGCTGCCTGCAAATATTGCTATCTGGCTGGCGTAATCTTTTGGGTTTGGTTGAGTTGTCCCAATGTTGGAGTGGAGTTCAGCCCTCAGCTCAGTTTATCTGCGTACCACTTTCCATCTCTACGCACCCCTTTGACATAGGCGAATTGTCAGTACTTTGAAGCAGCAGCAACTCAGTCCAACGTACCAGTCTCCTGTTCTGAAAAATAGGGTTTCAACCACGGTCGGGGTTTGCGCGTGTGCGGGTTGGTATATGTGGCGAGTGACTGTATGTGTGTGTGGGTAACTTTGGAATCACAAGGCGCCTCTTGGCGTTTATGTTTAATGTATTAAAGGGGGCGTGATGGTTGATTTCCTAGTCATGCTGTGGATATCAACTGGGAGGGAATTTGGACGCAAACTTTTGTACCTGTGGTGCCGCCTCTGGGCGCCAGCATGCACGGCTGGGGAACGCTATCATATATTTATGTTTTACCAGCATCCTGATGTTTTTTCTTCAACGCCTTTTGTGATCCACTCGTTTTGGGCGGTGGTGCACTCATAACGTACAAACTTTTATCTCTAGTGTGTACGTGCAAATATGTATGACTAGCAATGTGCGAGCAGGTGCGCGAATATGTTGTAATTTTGCGGGACAAAGCAGCCTGATGTCTAAAGATACGCACCAAACAACATTTTTTCTGTGAGGGGTTCTCAATTCTGATTGTATAGGCGCGATCCTGGGCCAAGATGATTTACGGCCTTGTGTCTCCTTGTGTCCCCTTTGTCTCCCATGCGCTCTTCTGAATGCTGGGCTGCGACCTTCGTCTCCACAGAGCATAAACATCTTAGCCTCTGCCACCACCCAGAAGAGCCATGGGAGACAAAGATCAACTAGGGGACGCTATCCACGAAGAACCATGCTTCCTTTCTCTCCCTGTCTTCCCTTGTGTATCTTTGTTTCGCGTGGCTCTTCTGGATGCTGGGCAGGGACGATTCCGCTTTGGTCTACTTTTGCGCCCATGGCTCTTCTGGACTGAGATGATTCTTCTTTGCCCCCGTTTGTCTACCTTCACATGTCTCCCGCGGCCTTTCTGGGTGCTGGGCTGAGATGATTCTGATTTGTCTCCCCCTTGTCTCCATGTTTTTTCTGCTTGGACGTTTAAACCAGTTTTGTAGCTCACTTGGATGGGACGCTGCAAGCCAAATTGGCAACAAACATCAAACCGCGGCTTCTGTTTGGGGTCGATGCTGGCGTAATTTACCAGCAAGAAGTGTGCAAGTGGAGTGCACTAAATGGTCTTGTTCGTCTTCTTGCTAAAACTATTCGCGCAACCGTTTGTCAAGTTGTTTGTACAAACGCGCCCAACTCGTTCATACCTACTCGTATCAGCACACATTTAAACTAGACCATTTGCGAACTTTTAGTTTATTTAGAGCTAGAATACGGAAACATCCTTATATAGTTGTCTGGGAATTCTTTTGTTCGATCGAGACGCATCAGTTTGCACTTTTTGTTGCTTCCACCCTCCCACCAGACTTTCTAAACATTGGGAAATCAAGCCGAGGTTCTGGGCCAAGCCTTGCTGGCTGAGAATCAAGCTAGCGCGGAAGGTATGCGCTATTTGCAGGTCCACGTGAAAGAGTGTATCACGCAGAAGAGCATGTCAGCGTGGCCAATGCTTCCTTGCACTGAGTGCTGTTTTGAGCTTGACTCTTGTGACTCTTGTTTGAAGCTGCAGCTGTGCAGGCTGCCTTGGGTATTTACAAGGACTCAGACGACTTTGTTGGATTGTAGCCCGAAACTTATCATGTGTGCTTGTGTTGACCCGTTTTGACTCGATGCACCTCATGGCAAAGCCTATCCATCTGAAGTTGTGGCGCTGAAATTATATGCTTGGCGTTGAACGCAGTTTTATTAGCAGCATGACCCAGTTCTGCCCACTTTGCCTTGGCGAATGGCTACTTCTCCCGCGGTGATTTGGAAGATGGATTGTCTCATGCGCGTGAGGCGGGAGATAGGAAGTGGTTCCAAGTCAGACATGTTGTTATGACTCTTATGACTGTTTTGCTTACGTGAAGTGAGCTGGTATGTTCTTTTCCAAACCTGCTCGTATCGGAATTTCAACCTGAGAATCTTGGAGGGCAGGATGGAGGTTTGGCTTTTTGTGCACGCGCGCAGGCAGTTCCTTGCGCGCAACAGTTTGATGTACTGGTACAGGTTTGGAGGGGCAGGCCATCAAGTGCAGGTCTCACGTACGGGTTCCTTTTCTTGTTAGTGTCTGTTTGTAAGGCTTGCAAGAATACAGAAACACACAAAAGGCACGAATTGCAAGAGTTCTGGAGGTGCTGAGCTGCTGTCGGCGGAGTGGTGACAAGGTGAACGAGGACTGGAGACTTCGATCTTTTGTTGGCCTTTCTGAGGGGGGAAACACACTTGTCAGTTCCAATGTGGAAACAAACATGAACCTGGAAGCTTGTCACGGACTCACCCAAATAATGTTTGGAGGAGCTTGTGAAGGCAAACATTGAGCGGGCGCGACAGATGACGGTCCAAAACCAAGTGGACGATTTGACGTGCTTAGTGGAACAACTGAGCACCGTCCAAAAAGGTCGGAACCAAAAGCTTTATGTCGGTAGGTCATACATTGAGCATACACTGAAAACCGATGAGGAAAACCCAAGTCTGATGCCTTTGTATCATACATACATACGTACATACGTACGTACATACTACTGCTACTACTACTACTCCTGCTACTGCTACTGCTACTACTACTACTACTATTACTACCACCACTACCACTACCACTACCACTACCACTACCACCACTACCACTACCACTACCACCACCACCACCGCCACTACTACTGCTACTGCTTCTGCTACTGCTACTACTACTACTACTACTTCGACGACGACGACTACTACTACTACTCCTGCTACTACTACTACTACATCTTCTTCTTCTTCTACTACTACTCCTGCTACTACTACTGCTACTGCTACTGCTACTGCTGCTGCTGCTGCTCTGCTGCTGCTGCTGCTGCTACTGCTACTGCTACTGCTACTGCTACTACTGCTACTACTACTACTACTGCTGCTGCCACTGGTACTGCTACTCTTACCCTACTCCTACTCCTACTACCTCGACAACAACAACAACTACTGCTACTACTACTACCACCACCACTACTACTACTCCTACTATTACTGCTATTACTGCTACTACTACTACTCCTGCTGCTGCTGCTACTACTACTACTACTACTAGTACCACCAGTACTACTGGTACTACTAGTACTACTACTGCTGCTGCTACTACTACTACCACCACCACCTCCTCCACTACTACTACTTTCAAATTTTATGTTTTTCACCAGTGTGTATAGACCGATGCCTAACCGATGCCCCAACCCATGCCGCGGAGTGACTTCCAGACACCGGATCAAGGGTCATGCCCACTCGAAAACTGATTATAGGGTTCAAATGACAGGCCCAAGAGAAAGGAACTAGCAGCTGCATATGTGAGGTATTTGAACATGTGAAACAAATTGTGTGCTGTGCTTTGCTTCGCCATGAAGGTCGATGACTATACTTTTGCTTGGAAAAATCAGATATGTTATGTTAGTGAAATTCACCAAACATTGGAAACCGAAGAGGAAAACTCAAGCCCGATGCCCTGTCCTAATGACCGCACTCAGATGTAGGGAATTCTGCACCGCGGATAGCAGATTTGCCGCATCCAGGCTGAGCTGAGGATGACAACACCAAAGAGGCACTGTGGACCTAGCTGCATGTCTCTCGAGAGTATAAGGAAGCTTCCGTGGTCGACATAAAACGGTGGATCCCAAGAGGATCCCAAGATTTCGCGCCACCTATCAGGCCGAGTATCGAGAATTCAGGTGGGCGGACGACACAAAGGATTCAAAGTTGTGTGCAGTCCCAAACGGTGAACTTGTGTTGAAACTGGAGAGATAGATACATGAGCATTTGAGAAATAATGCCCAAGATAGAAAGTATATATATATATATAATTGACATTTTCATAGAAAAGACGTTCTATGAGAATGCGTTTTGACAGCTGGAGGTATTCTTTTGTCGCCCGCCGGGCCTCAAGCATGCCATCTTAGACACAGCCGTGCCAGAGACCTCAGCTTGCCAACCGCGGTTCCGCTTCTGTACAGCAAAGACTTCACTTTAAACTTTTTCCTCATAATTTAGTCAAGCCTCGCAGCCTTGGCTTGAAGCTGAGGTCCCCGGCTCTTTGCTGGATATTGTCGCCTCTGGCCGAAATTACTGGGGCACACCAAGGCCTCGCATGTCGACAGGTGCACTGCACCTTGAAGCAGCGCCTCACAACTTATCAGCATGTATTCGACAAGAAACAGTCGAAAAACAACCGAAATCAAACCGTAGTTTCACTTGAACGGGAAAAACAGATCAAGAGACTTTGGAACAACAACTTTCTTTGAGGCTGTGGAGGCAATAAGAGCCGGCACTTGAGCGTAGCTAGGTCTAACTAATGACCAGAAAAAGACTTCCAGTTGCCAAGTTCACGTAAAACCGCTGCAAACAACTGCCTCCAATCCCCGGCCACGACTCCACAGAAATACGACTTCAGTTTTCCGGGGGTGGGATGCTTTTGCAGGTGTGCTAAAGTTTAATATGCAAGTTTGCACGGTTTGCCACAACATGCCACAACATGTGTCCATTTTGCTGGCTCGAAAGTCTCCACCTTTCGATGCTGTTAGTCCGAAAAGATCTCTCACCACGGCCTTGATCATGATCGCTGACGAACTTGGTTTGTTGGTTGCTGACAATAAACATCCTGGGACTCGACGCAAACGTGGATACATCCCAAGCTCGTTGCAAAACGACAGTAAAGAACGTCCAAATTTCTGCAAGTTTAAAGGAACTTCGTACAAAGTACAAAGCATTTATTTGAGATGTGGCTAGTGCAGTGGTACATGGAATCCTTGCTGTGTCACAGACATGGGGTCACGGGATAGATACATTCCCACGCCCTTTCTTCTTGGAAATCATCCTGCTGGCAGGATGGTGGTAGATGCTGCGGCCGTGTGAACCTGAGCTTCCAGTGTGTCAGCCGATGTCATAGTCATATATATATATATATATATTCATGTTAATTTTGAGATCTTAAACTGCAAACTTGCACAAAACTCCGGGCTTGCTTTTGCAGGAAGCAGATGAAAGACCTCCGGCCCACTGTGTGGTCTTTGGAACTGCTTTGTCAGCAACCTGAGTTTGGCAGTTTCCATGTTTGCAGGCAACATGAAACCCTCTGCACTTAGATGAGTTCCATGACACTTCAAAGTTCTATCTCGTGGGAATTGCGAGGTCAGACAACTCTGCCACACAGATGTGCCTAGAGCTGATGGATCTTATTGGTGCTCGGGGCTCGGAATCAGCGCTGGCATAATGTATGTATATATGTCTAAAGATAACAAGAGAAATTGCTATAGGCTATAGGCTTTACAGATGTAACCATTTCAAGAGTTTCGCAGATACACAGACTCCCCAGATTCAAGTGGCAGCGGCTCACCAGATGTGTCGAAGGTTTGCCAGGCATGAGCAGGTCGGATTGCGCAGTATGCAGGTTCTCACACGCTAGAAAATGGATGCGGGGGATACGCCCGTACACTGTTGCAGACAAGATATGGGATGACGGGCCTACTGGTATGGAACACTCTCAATATTGATGCCCTTGAACGGCGATAGCGGTGAACCGTTTCAGGGTGCCTTTTAATCCACTATATAATCTGGTGGCATATGCATATATACATATATACATGTACCGTGATTGGTATATCACCCTGGTACCGGGTCTCTCTCCTTCCTCCTAAGCGGCTGCCAACGGCCGGGATCTTTTCACCACCTCGGAAGTCCAGCGTCCACGCCAGCACGAAAAGGAAGGGAACCTGTCCCTGGCGACGAACGTGTGCTTCCTCACCACAAAGGCCAATGGCAAGAACCACGTCTGGCCCCACCTAAGCCAAACGGCCTTCGAGGTCGACGAGGTCCTACGCAAGCAAGTGGAGATCCTGACACAACAGGTGTGCATTCACACTCCCAAAAATTTATGTACAGTACATCTTGTAAAGACAACAAAATTGGTGAATAGCACTTGGTCTTCATTCATGTGGAGATGTTTCATCAGGATCATTTCGTTCCTTCAAATAATTGAAGCGGTCACGTGCTGTGGCTCTGGCCTTTAGGATGGCTTGTTCGTCGGAAACTTGGTAGGAGCCACGCTTTAGTGTCTCTCTCAAGAACGAAGCTTCCTGCGTTTGCGAGCTGTGCCCTACTAGCTACCCAACGTAATCGAATGCCTTCGGAGAGAAGGTCCTTGATTGCCCTAGCCTGAAGCTCCGTGTCCTAAATTCAGTGCAATTGGGGGTAGCAGTTCGAATTGTGAGATCAAATAACGATTTACAGCCAGTAGTGGCCACGTCCTTTAAAGTAGGGGCAGTGATGGTATGGGGAACCCTTCTCAAAGTTTCTGCGCCCGTTTGGCTTGGTCAGCCAGTCCCAGTACAGTTGGAGCCATGGACCTGATCTAACACCGTGGACAAGGACATGGTCTCGGCTGCCAGGGTGCTATTCGCCACCTTCTGAATCTTCCGACAACCAAGACACAAATGAGTTGACCAGTCCTCTTCATCGATCGGTGACGTGTGCGAGTCCAGTTCCGGCAGATCTAGAAGCTCTAGAGCGTCTCTGCGTCAATGGCTTCGGTCTTGGGTGTTGGTGCAGCGCTGGGTGTGGATCCGAGCTGAGACAAACTGGCATTGGAGCGATATGGGCACTCTGCTTTCCAGTACCCTTTGCACCATGCGCTCTGCAGTTCGACGCCAAGATCCGGTCTTGCAACGATTTCCGACTTTTCTTGATCCCAAGTTCTTGTGAGGACGGCCACGAAAAGAAGACTTTCCTTGGCCCTTGTTTTCCTTTCGAAAGGGGCCAGAAGCTGCGAAACTTCTCAACTAGTTTCTTCCTGGCCTCCATGTGCAACGTGTATGCTGGCCAACTTGTGGTCAGACTGAACGATCTGTTCCGCCGGAAGTGAGGCCCTGCATGCAGTCTTTTTCTGTCATGTCTTCGCCGACGTAGGTGTCTTCGCCTGCCTCGTCCTCGTCAGGGACGTGGTCAGTCAGCGTCTTGGCAGTGGCGTCGCGCACCTTTCAGGATGTCTTCTTACGCGCTGCCAGGTCCTGAAAGAAGGTGGCGCCCAACGTCCTCACTGCTTCTCCAACCCTCTGCGCTGACAACCAACCAGCAAATGAACTGTCAACTTCGAGAACCACCCTTTTGCGATCATCATGATGGGATAGATTCGAGCCTCGAAGCATGACGTATGCCTGCAGGCCCTCACTGTCGGATTCCAAGCCAGGAGCTTGCTCCAAATGGGTGTCAGCGCGGGCCAGGTATGAATCGTTTGATTCGCTGCGGGCAATTGAAGATCGCCCCAATTTCACCTTTCCCCAATGTCCACCCAGCAACTCTACCAGGCGTTGACCGACTTGGGATCATTGTTCAGGAGCTCCTTTTGATGCAACTGCAACTTGGCAAACGCACTGCCTTTGGAGTTCAAGATCAGGCGTGCAACCAACTCGGACATTTTGCCCGACGGCCAAATGGATGTCAACAATTCGACGTTCTGTTGATAAGTTTGCAAGTCATCAACTCCCGGAAGTTGGAACAAGGTTGCCCAAGTGGTTCCCTGGTGTTGTGGTTGTTTCACCTTCACCGGTCATTGTCATGCGCGCTCACGGTGCAACGTCCCCCAACTCCACGATCACGCGGTCAATGTTCAATGCTCAACGCTTTCAACGATCAATGAATCGACCCATGCGACCAAGAAATGTGCGACCTGTTTCAAGCATCTGAGCGGACTGAGAGCTCTGCTGCCAATGTGATTCCCCCCTGATTTTTTCACCACCTCGGAAGTCCAGCGTCCACGCCAGCGCGAAAAGGAAGGGACTTTGCCCCTGGCAACGAACGGTGTGTTCCCTGGCACACCACACAAGGCCAATGGCAAGAACCACGTCCCACCCACCGCTGGTGGCCTCACCTAAGCCAAAGGCCTTCAAGGTCGAGGTCCTGATCCTGACACAACAGGTATGCACTCACAACTATTCTGGTGGCATTTGCATTTTCGCATGCATATGGCTCAAGGTTTCGGCTCGAGACCACAGCTCCTTCCGTCTGGGCCCTGGGCACATCGCGTGAACTTCGAGAACGCCCTGGACACAGAGAAGGGAGGCTTCACCTACTTCCGGAAGGTGAGCATGAAGCGATGCAGTGTGCAAGCGCAGCCACCAAACCTGGATTTGGCAGGACCGGCTCATGAATAAGCCGGATTTGAATTGCAATCACTGCGCTGTAGCATGGCAGCAGCAACTTCCTGACCTTCGAGCACGACGCAGAGTGACATGGGCAGCTTGGAACTATCCCAAGACAGGTACTTCATGGCCTACCAAGTCATACAAGGAAGCCTTGTGCAAAGGCCAAGAAGGTAGCAAACTGCCTTGTGCAAGGCGGTGCAGGAGCGCTGGGCCCAGTTGCCTGAGGCCATGAAGACACAGTGTGAAGCCTTGGGAGTACAAGCACCACCTCACCAGCCCCTCAGGATTTGCCGACTTTAATCAAGGAGCGCTTGCAGAGCCTGCCACCGGACTTGAAAGGAGCTGTGGAGAAGATAGTCGAGCCACCGAAGCCTGAACCTACTCTGGCATCCAAGCTCAAGATGTCAGTTGGAGCATTGAGGCAATTGTCAAACAAAAAGGCAGCCACACAAGCCAAGGCAGATACTGTAAAAACTCAGTGTACAGCTTTGCTTCAGGAGTTAAAAGAACTTCAAGGCAAGATAGAGGTTGCCCAACAAGATCTGCAGAAAGCCACTTCGCTCTACAACCAGCAGCTGGAGAAGGACAAGCAGGCAACGGATGAGGTCTATGTGGACCCGGATGAGATCTCGCCAGAAAACCTGATGGTCATCATGGCCAGTGTGGATTTTCATGCCACGGATGCGCGGATGAAGGAATTTGCGCGCAAGCTTGGCGAGAACGTGTCAAAAAGAAGGAGGTGCGGGTAACCCTGCAAGAACGCAGCAAGCGCAGGGGCCATCATATGTGCACGTCATGGGGACAATGATGGAAGCATTGAGCCTCTATATGTCATATGCAGGTTTTGGCTCAGAAGGTCGGCAGCGAGACAAGTCGACTGTAGAGCATTTGGGGCCATCGCCAGATTCAGATGTGGTGATGATGACGGGAGGAGCTGGAGCAATTGAAGATGAAGCAATGACTCCAGTTTCAAGCAGAGACGATCAACATGATCACACGAGTGAGCAGTGCAAAGGTCTGCAATGCCGACTCGGCAACCCGCGCAATTGTTGCTATGCCAATTCGCCTTCTCGTCTTCGGGCCTGGGCAGGAAGAGCTTCCTTTCAGGTCAACAGGTGGAACAACGCTGCCTCTGCTGTGCAAACAGCCTTGGCGGACAATGACACGGTCCAGATCACCAGTTTGAGCACCTTGCAATTTCTATGAGCCCGGCTTGACGACCAGGTACAAGATGATGCAGCGCATTTTCTCCTTGAGATGGTGGAGCTTGCTAAGCCGGCGCGTGTCATCACGCATCATTACCATGTGGATTACAAGCAACAGGTGCGCAAGAGGAGAGAGTTCCCTATACATCTGATCTTTGAAGATCAGGCTGAAGCACAGGAGCTTGAGACTCTTATCAATAGATGGGCAAAAACTCCAAGAAGCGCAACAGCCATTAGACTGGATGCCATGGAAGCGCATGGCGCGCGCCCTGAACAGCCAGAATGCAACAGCGCTGCAAACTTGGCACCAGGGAGCACTTTTCACAAAGCTCGCAGATCAACATCTTCAATGCCCGCATAGCCGCCAACCTGCCACGGCAGTCCACCTGATCTGGTTGTGCAAGGAGACAGCTAAGGCCTTCCTGGCTTTGGCTCAGGAAGACCTCTTTGAGCTAAACCGTGGTTTGAACCTGGAGTTCTGGGCTCAAGGACTTGTCCAGGTGCCACTTGGGCGACCAAGATGAAGCTCGCATCACTCACCCTGATGTGGTGGCCATTGGAGTTGCCAAAACTTCCACGGACAAGAGGCTACAGTTACTTTGCTGTTGCCATGGTACACCACACCTTGCTTGGAGGGCAGCTTTACCGACAGGGAGCGGTGGTTGCAATTCTTCCAGGGAGACAAACATGGGAGCGAGCCTGGTTCTATGGCCTCAGAATGATTGCGCATTACGTTGATCTGCAGCAAAGAGTTGTGGTGCACGTAAACAGCGCAAGGGCATGGGAGGCTTGGACGCAACGCAAACATAGGGACAATTTCCATGATTTGCAAGAGCTCA